TGCGAAAACAATGCCCCTAAAAAGGTAGAAACCAAAGACCACTTCCTCTGTATTCCCCATATATAGGAGATACTTCACTGGGGAGGACACAGAGTAGCAGTGATGGGCCTTTGGTTTGTGTCAGCATTCTTTGCTGTTATTCTCTTCCTCCAAATGCACAGAGGTAAGTGTTGCATTGTATTAATTTATTTTTCTCACAGTCGGACCCCATAGCTTTACTGTGCGGAGTACAATGTGATTCAATGAAATGATTAATCCATGAGCTGATGTCCCAGAGGTTTTTTATAAGTGAACAGTGATTCGAACTTCTTGTCAAACGACAACGATTTATCCACTCTGTTATGCTATCTTATGTTTCACTTTTTGCATAGTTTGGTAAAACTAACGTTATCAGTTCCCATGGAGAAAATGTTATGGTTTTGGTATGTGTATGTCTGCTACATACAATGTTATGTGTATGTCTGTTACAAGGTTTACACAGACAATATGGAAGCAATACATTCTTCAGGAACAAATTTAAAATGGAGCAATTGGAAGGAGTGAAAATAAATCAAAAAGCATCAGGGAAACTGCTAAAAACAAACAGTTTAAAGATTGAATGATAGCACAGCAGTATTTGGCTGGAAGTATCTCTCTCTCTTTCTCTCTGCCTGTCTGTGTAGGTTTCTGGCTGGCTGGTTGGCTATTTATCTCTATCTCTATCTCACACACACCCCACTATATTGGAGTTGCACTAGAGGAGATTTATACATTTATCTCTACATGTAGGTGTGTATTTCATCTAAGCTAGAAATTTAAGGATTTTTTGTTTGTTTGTTTGTCTGTTTGCTATAGTGTTGCTTTCCTCAGGAGGGATATCAGCAGACATTAGAGTTTCCTAAAGTGCTTGACAATAAGTCATAAGGTATCCATTAGAAGCTTAGCAACATATTTGAGCCTGAACATTTACTGAGATCAGCATCCTATCTGAATGTAGTATTCCTTATGACTTATTGTCAAGCACTTTATGAAGCAGAGAGCTTTTGTACTACTCTAATATCTCCTGGGAGCTGCGGTGGCTCAAGTGGTTAAGACGCTGAACTGCAGGCTGTGGAAGGTCAGTAGTTCAGCGGTTCAAGACCCGGGTACCGCAAGACAGGGTGAGCTCCTGTCTCTAGTTCCAGCTCCTGCCAACCTAGCAGTTCAAAAGCAAGAAATTGCAAGTAGATAAATAGGGACCACTTCGGTGGGAAGGTAACAGCGTTCCGTGCGCCTTGGTGTTTAGTCATGCCGGCCACATGACCACGGAAACGTCTTCGGACAGCGCTGGCTCTTTGGCTTTGAAACGGAGATGAGCACCGCAACCCTAGAGTCGGATTCGACTGGCTTTCGAGCAAGGGAACCTTTACCTTTAATATCTCCTGAGGAAGATCCAATTTTGAAACGTTGTTATATAATCCGGAGACGACATTGATTATGTGCCTATGCACAAGGATTTTCTTATGATTTATTAATGATGTTGTAGTGCTTTAGATTGTAATGCATTGGAAGTTCTTTCTTTGCAAGTCTTGGTGACTGCTTGATTTGCGGGTCAGACTCTCACGACTGTTGTTTTTATACTTATTTTCTGATTGGGTTGTGTTTGTCCATATTTAACTTTCAAACACTGGCCCCAGGTATTCTCAAATATTCCTGAACATTACCAAGAATATTTAGGATCAGAATACCGTTTGTTCAATTCTTAAATATCTACCCAGATCCAGAATATCCCCCCCAAATACCAATAAGATCTTTTCCAGATATATTTGCAGACCAGATACATCTGAACAAACATCCCTACTAGAGATGTGAAGGCCCGGAAAAAAAAAATGGAAAAATTCGGGGGGGAAACCAGTTTTTCCCCGTTTTTTTCCTGAAGCCTTTTTCGTTTTTTTCCGAAAAATTGGAAAAATTGAAAAAATAAAATAAAATAAAGTGACTATGGAATTTTTTATTTTAGCATGATGAATAAAATATTTTAAGACAAGGTGTTCGAATATTTTCCAAATCATTTCTAAAATATATATATATAT